AAAGGACTCTAAAAGACCAGGGAGCAAATGTTTCTCTCTCAGGAAGGGAGGAGAGGGGGGGCATTTTATTTATATTTTTATATGTATATACACACACACACGCATATATGTGTGTGTGTATATATATATTTCCAGATTCATAATTTTAGGCTTCCTCTCCTATGATGCGACCCCTGTACATGTAGTGCTAAACATGTGGCTTTCCTTGCATCACGTATGTGACACTGCTGCCGTTGCTGTAATGAACAATGATGACTCTAAGTTCCAGAAACTTCATGGTTGCATTCAGGATAACAAGGAATAAATACAGATCATAAAAACTTACCAAGTTTACTGACAAGAATGGGATCCTGTTTGAAACGTGGTTTTTCTGAAAGAGATAGAGGATGGCCCCCAGGCTAACTAACAGGATTTGAAAGAAGACAGCAAGAGCCAATAGCAGACAGATTGAAAGGATTGGAAGACAACTGTTGGTCGAAGGCTGGGGGTAGGTTGGAACAAGCAGCCCAAATGGTTTTAGGTTTTAGAGAAGGCTTTTAGTTTTTGCCTTCTCCTAGCAAGAGAAGAAAGGGTCCAGGAATTCCCAACGTTGGGCTTTTGGTGGGTGGGTAGAGAATGTTAGAAATCTATGTTGTTCGCTCCTCTACATAAGAAGAGAAGAAATACCCAAGGTAGGCTTTGGATAGGTTCCAAATAGAAGTTAGAAGTTACCTTATTCACTGCTCTCTCTTCTGGGCAGAAAGAGAAAGCATTAATTAGTTCCCAAAGCTGAAGCGGCTTTGGACATTGCAGCTGCTAAACTGCTTGGACCTGAAGGGAGAGGTCGCTCACTTACTCAGGTGGGAACAATTTGTTGGCTTCCTGATTGCTCACTCCCACTCTGATCTCAGCTCCTTGAAGATTTAGGGGTGGGGCTCAGGTCTTCTCGTCACCAGAAGGCTGAGATAGCTCTACATATTCATCCCTTTATGCTGGGAGAACTTTGGAAGGGAGGAATTCACTTGTTGATACTTCTGTTGTGTTGGACATAGCTATAATGTGCCTAGTTCTGTGGCAGAAACGGATGTGGGACTTGGGTATGGAGACGGGTGCCAAGAAAGGAAACTGCGGAGTTATGGTTGCATGTGAGTTCAGAAAGAAATAGCCCTAGCACAGCCGGGATGCTGAGAAGTGCAGAGGCAAGGGGCCAAATAAAAAGGTAAGGGGAAAAACCTCTCCACCCACCTCACCTAGTCTCCACTGCCACTGCAGCCGCCATGGCTCCCAGCTGGGAGAGAGCAGGATTCCTCAGAAGCTGTTACCTTAATCTCTGAAACACTATGTTAACTGTTAGGATCTTGAGCAAAACTTGAAGAAAAGAAAAAAAAAGTTTAATAAAACACTGTATTGTTTTGTTGCTATTATGTCTGACTGTATAGTAGAAATAATTGCAGGACTTTTTATGCTTGTAATTCCCCACCTCATAGGTGCTAGAGGGGATTATTAAATCAGGAATAACTAAAAATAGAGAAGTTTTAGTGGGATCTGCCTTAGAGACAGAATAACTCGCTGACTGAGGACTTAACGCTGTTTGCCCAAAGGAAGCCTCTGGAAATTCTGGTGATGATGACATAAAAAATATGATTTCAGATACTAAATTAAATCAAGACTTTTTAAAAACCTTGGTTATAAAAAGTTTTTTTTCTCACAGTTGTTTAGGATTTAGAAGGTCAGCTGAAGGTATTCCCTCTTCATCCTCCATGTTCAACCCTGGAGTTGAAGGACTTTAATTCTTAAAGCATTGTTTCTAGAAAGATTAATATGATGGAAGTGATATTAAAAATTATTTTTGGATTTTTATACTGAAAGACAAATTTTACTTTTGTTTGATTGTGCAATAAGATGCTCTCTATTTACAATTATCAGCTGAATAATTTCTACAAAGAGTGGATGGGTAGACATTTCTAATATGCCTTTGCTATTCTGTTGTTTGTTTTTCAATTATTGGGATTGATTTTACCTGAAATTGCATAAACCAACTGGCAAAAAATGTTACAGGATTGCAGTAAATTTGAATATAAGGAAATTTCAAATCATAGATATGAAATTGAAAGTTAGGTAAATACGTTGAAATCTACCTAATCCCCAAAGGCAACATTCAGGTTCTGTGCTTTAAATAATACCATGTTTAACCAATGAATCAACCAAATTCATAGAGATGCTATGACTAGTAAAATATTTAAGAAAAATATATCTTTAAAAAAGCAGAATTTCTGCTTTGCCATATTGGAGAGGTTTGTAATAGAATACCCAAGGATGTGAGGTATATTCCATTTGGCTTTATAATTCTATGAAGACATAGAGGTCTATTTGCTAATTATATTTTTTTCCTTTCATGATTTGGTACAAAAAGTTATTGACAATTTAAGCCCTCATCTCTTCTTTCTGGGAACTCATTTAAGCTAATGTATTCTGTAATATTCCAAGTAGCGTTAGAATAATCATGTTCTATCCTGTTATGTAATAAAGATGATAGATAAAATTTGCTCTCAATTTTGTATAATTTTTGCTTTGCTTTTGCTGTAACAGCATGTTCCTATAACTATACAATATTAGAGTTAGTTTTTTATAGTGTTAGAAATTTCTGCATTTCATATCATTGCTGCTAAAGGTATTAAGGATGATTAGTTCTATTTTTCAACAATGAAATCCCTGTACCAGAAATAGAAAGTGGAAACTTAGGCAAATGTGGCTGAACATATGGATAAATGTGATTATCTTATTTATTCACTCAAAAACATTGAGTGCTAAGTATGAGTACGACACCATTTTATATACTGGCCATGCACATGTAAACAGAACTTATAGAAATCACTTTTCTTAAGAAGCTTATATTCTAGGGGAATGAAACAGACAATAAGGAAAACTTGTGAGTAAAATCTGAAGCATATTAAATGCTAACGAGGAAGATCAAGCTGGAAAGTGGGATAGCCATGGTGGCAGGATGGCAGGGATGAGGTGTTTGGTTATTGGGTTCATGGCTGCATCTTCTAGGAGAAGGTACACTAAAAAGGCAGGGGCACACCCGAAGGCAAGGACTCTGCCTGATGTCACTTGCCATCACATCCCATGCACACCATTACACGGGGCACTTGACAAATGCTGAATGAATGGATGGATAAACTTGGTGTAGAGTGAATCCTCCCGTTATCCTGATCTACTCTTTTTTCACACTACTTTATATAGTATATAATGTTATAATTAGTTGTGTTTATTATTTATTGTCTGCTTCACTCAGCTGGAAGATAACCTGCCCAAGGGTAAGAATTTTTATTCATTTCATACACTTATATATCCCAAGATCCTAGAACATTGCCTGAGAGAGTAACATTCAGCATGCATTTGTTGAATGAGTGAATGGATTCTATGAAGTCATTGCATGAGGAAATAAAGTAGCTATTAGTTTACCATAGAGGAATTGTGCTGCTTTTGGCAAGGAAACTTTTTCCTGCCAACATCACACATTCTGCTACTGACAAATTCACAATTTGTATGTTCAAAAATGGTATGAATAACATGCTTAGGAAGCTAATCCTGATGCGAAATTCATGTGCCTTAGAAAGTCAAGAAACACCTGCACATGAAAATACATAGCATTTTTAGTTATATTAGCCTTAAGCTGGAAACAACCCAAGTGTCCATTAACATGTGAAAGGATAAATAATGGCATATCTATATAATAAAATACTGTTCAGTAATATAAAGAAATAATGTGGAGACATGCACACTAATATGGTATATTCTCACAGAGGAATGTTGAAAGTACAAAAAAGTATAATTATTCAACTATCAATGACAGTGATCCTCTGTGCTTAAAAATTTTAAAAGGGGCCTGGTCAAGAAAACAAAAATATCCATTCAATTTTTAGAAAAATGAAGAAAGAGTATGTAAAAACAGATGAAACAAGTTCTTTAGTTAGACCTGACAGTTGACAGACCTGGGGTGGATGTTTTCCCTGGCTGAAAGGTACTACAAATATTTTCGTTGTTGATGTTCTCATTGGAAGAAAATGTTTTTATATCCGTTCTCAACCCAGAAACACAGCCATATTCAAAAATTATTTTCTGACAAAGCTAATGAAGTTTCTTTTGAAGCCCTAAGAAAGATCAGAGGTTTGAAAGAGGTGCAGTTTACACTTGAAAGAACCACAGGCAGCCTAGAAACGCATCTTGAAGATCACAGTTTAGGAAACTAACACCTGAGAATGAATTCCCCATATTAACATGGCATCAGTGATTAGGGCACAAAACTCAAGGACACAGTGTTTTCCTTCCTGTCTATCTTGAAATTCCTAGTGATTTGCCAACAGCATTTTTAGAAACATTTTTGTTCATGACTTATATATGACTATTAGAAAGGATTTTAATTTCTTGAGGGCAAGACACTGAGACTTCTCGTAAACCACATCCTGCCTAGAGCCCTGGGCAGGTGGCAGGTACTCTTTAAAACAGCAATCAACATCCATGAAGCCATTTCCAGTAGAACACTGTGGGCTAAATTATTTTCACTGAGAAGATTATAATCATTTATAGAGAACTTAGAATTACACCACAATAGGTGATACCTACTGGTATTTCATAATCCTAATTTGCCTCTTTGCTTCTTTTTTTGTCTTTCTAGGAACTTCTAGAAGATTCTATTTTTACACTGTGTTTCCAATAACAGTATAGTTCCTCAGAATGCTGGTTCTGTGCATTGTGCCACAGAGAACAGTTTTGTGGTGAAATTATGAAATACTGTGTAACATTTTCCTTCTGTCAGGGTTACAATGCAAGCTAAGATTTTAAAAATTCTAACAAACATCTGCATTAAAGTGACTCCTTTGACTTTCTTTAACCCAACATCTCCCAAACTTACTTTCTTCAGAATTCTTTTTTAGTGTAAAGATGTCTATTTTTTAAAAGTGTGTAAGATACCATCTATTTTAAGACATGTTATTTATGTGCCACTGGGAAAGGAAAACATGAACAATATGCCTTTATTTTTAAGACTCATTTAAAGGATACTGTCGACAAAACACAAACTTTAGGAAATACAACTTTACACTATAAAATAAACTGGAGCCATATATTCTAGAAATAAAACATTAAAATTAAAATCCTTTAAATCATCTTATCCAATTTAGTAATTTCAGTACTAGATTACAAATTCTTTAATACATTTTCAGAAATTGTGAGTTGTGATATAAATGTATTATATCAGTCCTTTGAGCTGTGATATAAATGTGTTTAATGGTATGCTGTCATACCACCACACACATTTTCTTATCACAGTTTTAACTTCAAAGATCACAATTCTAGCTATCTGTGACTTTTCAAGTGTATACCGCGAGGCTTCGAGGCCTCTGTATTAGGAGAGGGCACTTCAAAGAACACACCAGGGTCTACAGGAACCACACCAATCTATGCTCATTGGTGACCCATGATAAACTTCATTACTGATAATACTCCTTTAATTATCCTCATGACGTTTGCATGTGTGGTTTCCAAACAAGATAACTTACTCCAGGCAGGATCCATATATTCCATTTCTCTGTATCTCCTCACAGTGTCCACTTTGTATAAGAGTAAGGTTATTACTCTTAATGGCAAAAACTGCAACTACTTTTGCACCAACCTAATATAAATGTTAGGTTTTTATATTTTATAATAATTAATAATATTATTAATATGGGAACATCTTTCTCCATGTCATAGCCAAGTGGAAGCATCTATCTGTAAAATCATATTACTGTGGTTGTTAGCAAACCATTCCTTCAACTGCCTATTAGTAAAGATCTTTATTTTTTAGGATGAGTGATACAATTTTATCTAGAAGTTAGATCAGAAAAGCCACAGTAAATTTTCTAGTGCCATAAAATAAATCATTTTAATAATTAAGATACATAAATAGTTTATGATAGAAACAATAAAGTTGTCTCAACTCTGCACAAACATTGAATTTCCAAGTAATTTGTAAGGAATATATTCATCTTATTACATTCAAAATCATGGTTGAACAATGATGATTATAATGTTTTCTGAATGATGTTTTTATAGTCTATGAATTCACACAGTATTACAGTAATTCATAGTATTACAGTGCTTGGTAGTTTGAAGAAATGAAATAAAACTCTTCTAATGGTATGCAGGAAATAAAAATAAAATAATTAAAGTCATTTGCATAACTTTTTATGACAACAAAATAGTATTTTTCTGTAAAAATAAATTAGGTTTTTTTATACTGAAATGTTCTTCTATTAAAGTGTTTAGAAAATAGTTACATTCATTGTGGGCAGTGTGCTCAAACATTCTTATTTGCCATTCCCTCATGCATGATAAAATGAGGTGCAAGCTGTTCACATGTGAGAAAAACAGCTTTTCACAGGAAAAGAAACATATATATATATATATATGAAATATAATTAATTTAGAAACCCACGTGTCATACGACAGAGATACAAAAATTCACAAAGAAAATATATTCTTTAAGGCCTTTGAGGTGACACATCTTTGACTATAATTTATCAAAGGTAGTTTTAATCATGCTACCCTGTAACTTCCATCAAATTAGCATGCTTGCGGATGGTAGGTTATTGTACTCCTCCTATAATTTAAAGCAGTGTTTGGTCAGTTGACTGAAGCACAGCAGTCGAACTCAGGACTCACCACGTTTTCTAAAGGAGCAAGAGAAACAAACATCTCCACTCTAAGCGTGGTTTGCAAGAGTAGCACCTTTGGCACTGAGCAGAACAGTTTTCGGTGTGGCGGCCAGGTGACAGAAGTCTCTGGAGTGGCACAGCATGAAAACAAGCCTGACGCTTAGGGCAGCGATATTATCGAGCCAAATTTGCTGGTTTACCTAGGAAACAGATGAAAGATAAGAACTGATTAAAGTTTAACCAAACAGGAAATATTTGCGCTTATCCACAAGTAACACCTGAATGGCAAGTTGAACCTGAGACTGTTTTCTGTTGTTTCCTCTTCTTCTTTACTTTGCTTTTCTTTTGCTTTTTCTCAGCCCGATTTTTGTTTGACTTCTTTTTCTTGGTTTCCTCTTTATACCATGGCCCCCAGACCCCTCCATTGAGCCGTGGGTTACTTCTGGGGTCTTTGGGGGGATACCTGACCGGCACTGCAGTTTTGTTGAACTGTGAGAGCCTCCGTAGGAGCTTCTTCACGATTCCTGGATACCTGTTAGATAGGTCCACCCTCTCATATGGGTCGGCTGTGATGTTGAAAAGCCATACACTTTTGCCAGTTGACAAGGTAATCCGTTCATTGTGCCACCGGTTCGGTCCCAGGTTGCTGAAAGACTGAGGGGGCACCCAGTCGCTGTAGCCAGGATTTCCTGTGAGCAATTTCCAGTGCTGCACTCTGATGGCTGACTGGATTGCAGTGTTCCAGATCCCATAGCCTGCTGCCCAGGAGCCATTTTTTGCCTTGGTGTATATGGGGTCAATGTTATGCAAAATATCTACTCGGGGTGAGCGAAGACCCTCACTTATGGTCTCCCAGATATCATAGCCATCTAGTTGAATATCCTCATCAATCTGTCCTTCAGCCAGTGAAATCAGAGTAGGGTACCAGTCAGTGATGTGCACAAGTTCCTTACACACTGTTCCCTTGTTTTTCAGAAGTGGGCTATGCACAAAGCCTACAGCCCGGATCCCTCCTTCCCAATATGTTCCTTTGCTACCTCTGAGAGGCCAGTTACTCCCTCCTGCTGTAGGCTGGCCACCATTATCTGAAGAGTAAATGATGATGCTGTTGTTATAGAAACCATAAGTCTTTAGAGCCAATGTCACGTTGTTGATTGCTTCATCTAAGCAGGAAAGCATGGCAGCATATCTCCTCCTGTTTATGTTGATAATGGATCGGTAGTGTTCAAAATACCTGCCAGGAGCTTGCAGTGGTGAATGAACAGCTTGATAGGCAATATATAAAAATATAGGCTTTGTGGGGTTATGGGAAGCTAAGATTTGCTGTACTCTCTGAGTGTACATCTGTGTAGAGTATATGCCATTGTCATAGTCCCAGGCAGCATTGTCGTTTTCATACAAGTCATAGCCACACATCCCAGGACTGTCACATTTGTAGTGTGTATAGTAATCCCCACTTCCCAAAAGGGAACCAAAAAAGGTATCAAATCCTCTTTTGGTGGGCATGCACTCTTTTCTGTAAAAACCCAAGTGCCATTTTCCGACCATATGCGTTGAATATCCAACCTCCTTCAGTTTCTGAGGTAGGGTGGCATTGTCCAGAGGTAAACAGTTGGGTTGAGTAGGTCTTATGATAGAATGTTGAAGTCCGGTGTGTATCTGATACCTTAAGAAAAGAGAAAAATTTTATCAGGGCAGGATAAAAGAGATATTGTACATAAAACAGTGATCCCTAAATTAAATAATGTTTCTATGGGGATCATTGTGAAATTATAATTGACCCCAATGATGAATGACCAATTCAGCATTTCTACTCCTTACTCACAAGTCTTACTCTAATTAACTTCCTATTTAACATTTGAAATACATTTCAATCTAAACCAGTACTTTTGAAACTAAATTTTTGCCACTTATCTCAAAGTCTTTTTGAGACGGAATCTTGGTTGTCGCCTGGGGTGGAGTGCAGTGGCGTGATCTCAGCTCACTGCAACCTTCACCTCCCAGATTCAAGCGATTCTCCTGCCTCAGTCTCCCCAGTAGCTGGGATTACAGGCATGCACCACCACACCCAGGTAACTTTTTTGTATTGTTAGTAGAGACGGGGTTCCACCATGTTGGCCAGTCTGGTCTCAAACTCCTGACCTCAAGTGATCTACCTGCCTTGGCCTCCCAAAATGCTGGGATTACAGGCGCAAAGCCACGGTGCCCAGCCTCAAAGTCTTTTAAAGTTCTTATAATGGAATTAATTTGAATAAACTTTAATCTCTTAATTATATGACTGAAAACTGACAAGATAGGAGAAAAGATATATAGAATCAGAGTATTATTATTATTATTGCTTTTAACCTAGGAGCCTTCTAAATCATTAGCTCCTAAATAGTTTCCTGAAATCATTGATTTCAAGCTAACTATGAATTACTAAAAATACATGGAAAATTATAGAAAAATCTCCTGTTTGATTGTCAAACAATAGTTCATTCTTAATAGTTAACCTGTTAGATCTCTGAAATGAGAAAGAGGTTTCTGACTACACAATACATTATTGTTTAAAAATCATTTTAGAATAAATGTTTTAGCTAGCGCTACAAATTATATTTTTCAAAAAATAACAGGTAATAAGTCCTTATGTATGTTTCCCACAGTGTCTCTTTTTAAAAAATTATGATCACTTATAGTCTAAGAAAGCATAACACCTTCTAATATGTGAAAAATTAAGTGAATGTTAATTTCTTGCATTTTTCTCTTTTCAGTGGTATTTTGCAAAGGGAGTTTTCCAAGATGGGGTTATTATTACACAAGTGTATGAATTTTCACTTGGGCCAAGATATACCAGTTTGTTTCTAACATTTTAAAACTGATTGATTCTATAGTTATAAGCACAAAAATACTTTTAAAATAGAATATATAAAAATGAAAATAAAATTAAGGTTGCAGAAAATTGTCAGGGTAAATATGTAGATATTCTTGGAATCAAATTAAAAAGAAATTGAGGTCAAAAGCGACTTTTTTCACAGTGATTTAACCTGAAAGGCCAACATGTTATATATGCCTTGGATGAATAGTTCGATTTATTTTTAATGTTTTAATGATAGCATGATGAAACTATGAGCTTTTTGAAGTGTTAATTGCAACACACACTGATGTTTCTGTGGGTGCTGGAGTGATATCTGATCACTATTGCAAAGTAGCATTCATGTGGACCCTATTTACTCTGCTGATCATTTAGCTGTCAGTTTTGCAATAGTCATGGTCGTGGCAATTTAAAATGTAAGAAACTCCCAAAGAAATAGTCATTTCATAAACATCATAAGTACCAAGTTTAGAAGGCCTTGTTACTGTTCTTGATCATTTTTTTTTTTTTTTTTTTTTTGAGATGGAGTCTCGCTCTATTGCCCAGGCTGGAGTGCAGTGGCAAGATCTTGGCTCACGGCAACCTCTGCCTCCCAGGTTCAAACGATTCTCCTGCCTCAGCCACTCGAGTAGCTGGGATTACAGGTGTACACCACCACACCTGGCTAATTTTTGTATTTTTAGTAGAGACATTGTTTCACTATGTTGGCCAGGCTGGTCTCGAACTTCTGACCTCAGGTGATCCACCTGCCCCGGCCTCCCAAAGTACTGCCACTGCGCCTGGCCTGTTCTTGATAATTTTTGGTCCAGTCCAGGATCCAAAACATTCACTTGTGAAAAAACTAATTTTAGACACAAGTGGATGTTTTCTAAAATTAGAAAAGACTAATTTTTCACACAAGTACATGATAAATTAGTAAATACCCATTAATGGAAACTTGGAGGAAATTAAAAAGGAAGACATCTATATGGGTAAAATTTTTGGGAATCATTTATGGGGATGAGTTATTAACAAAATAATTATGTTATGCAGAAAATGGATTTGACTGGGATGGCTATTCAATTCATCAAATGGTAAACCAATTAAGCATTTCTAATTAAATTGGTCATTGTCTCACCTATTGACAAAGGCAACAGGAAAAGAGGCTTATGAAAAACATAAAATACAGGAAACGTTTGCAGAAAATAAAAGAGAAGGCAAGAAGAGGTTTGCTACTTTCAGAAAATGGTGTAGCCTTTGCAGATAAATAGGAGTTCAGAGCTATTAATCAACTATGAGTTTTCTGTCTTCTGTAGAAAGTAGAATGTTTTTTAAATTGGAAAATATGGAACCAGCAACATAAAAGTTTGACAGCAGCTTATAACAGGGAAGAGGTTTTCAGGGCAGCTCCTGTTTCAATGAGTTCCAGCCTCTATGGTGGAATAGGAGGAAGTTTCATGTTATTTGGGGTGTGAGTTAAGGGTGTAGGTTTTGGAATCAAACAGACCTGGGTTTGAATTTGCTCCATTGCTTATTATCTTTGTGGTTTTGGGAAGTACTTAATCCCTCTGATCCTCAGTTTCCTCATCTGTAAAATAGGGATAATAATACATATTGGGTTGCTGCAAGCATTGGAAGGGAGCAGAGTCTAGTAAGGAGGGTACATTTCATCAGTGATAGCTTTAACAATCATCCCAGAGTGCTGAATTCGGTGTCACTAACATTTGCATAGTGCTTTTTTAATTTATAGATGTTTATTCATATGCATTATTGCATTTAAGTTTCATTACAACAGTGAGAAGTCAGATTACTTAAGTTCATTTTATAGATGGGAAAATAGAGATGTAGAGAAGTTGTGGTTTTCTCCCCAGCACCCTCAACCTGCCCCACCCAGTTGTGAAACTGATTCTTGATCAGCAGTGGCAAAGTCCGATGTTCTCTCTGTTCTTGTTAAGAATTAATATCAGTACTCTTTGAAAAATCAAGGAGCAGAGGAAAGATGCCAGGAGTCTTGAGAAGCAAATCTGTTCTAACTTTCCAATTAAAGAAAGGAAGGATTTGTAAACTGGATAGTGAGACTTATGTTGATCCCAGAAAAATTTGAGAATGATTTTTTTTAAAGTACATGATTTGTGAGCACTTCAAAAATAACAAATGAGACAAAGTCAAAAAAGAATAGTCCTGCCAAGTTAGCTTCATTGTCTTTTTTAAAAAAGATCAGCATTAGGTAAATAGCTTAGGAATGATTTAGCATTTGAAAGGGCTGCCCATTATTCTTTTTTTAAATAAAATAATGAAAAATCAACTGTATGTTAGCACTTTAGTTGGAGATAAGAATGATAATCTTACACTTTAATGAAAGTTAATGTAATATGAATTTTTTTTTTACTGATATGCTCTTCTCTGGCCTCCACAACTCTGTGGAGCAGGTAGGAGTGTTTCATTTAACAGAAAAAAAGAAAAGAAAGAAAAACAACTCAGAAAATAAGCCCTCACAGCACTACTCAAAATAGCAAGACTTGAAGTCAACCTAAATCCCCATAAATAGGAGATTGGATAAAGAAAATATGGTACTTATAACCGACAGAATACTATGCAGCCATAACAAAGAACAAAATCATGTCCTTTGCAGTAACATGGATGTAGCTGGAGGCCATTATCCTAAGTGAATTAACACAGGTACATAAAGCTAAATACCACACGTTCTCACTTGTAAGTGAGTGCTAAACTTTGATTGCACATGAACACAAAAAAGGGAACAAAAGACACCAGGACTCACTTGACGATGGAGGGTAGGAGACAGGTGAGGATTGGAAAACTACCCATTGGGTACTATGCTCACTACCTGGGTGATGAAATAATCCGTACACCAAACCTCCGTGACATGCAATTTACCCATGTAACAAAACTGCACATGAACCCCTAGAACCTAAAATAAAAACTGTAAGGAATTAAAAGAACGAGACTAAAGAGACATGACAATTAAATGCAACATGTGGTTTTGAATTGGAATAGTTTCAATAAAGAACATATTTAGAGAACTGGCAAAACTTAAATGGGGTCTTGGGATTAAAATGGAATAACAATGTTTTCTGATTTTGATGGTTTTGTGGCTAACATAGGAGAATACTCTTGTTTGTAGGAAATACTAAAGTATTGAAGGTGATAGGACATCATGTTGGCTGTTAACTCTCAATTCAGGAAAAATGCTATTTGTGCTGTACTTGCAATTTTTCTATAAGATTGTCTCAAAATTTAAAACAAGTTGTAAGAAAATCTAACAGGGATAAATAAAAGATATTTTATTTAAAAATCAATTTTTTACATGTTAGCTGTATAAGACTGTATCAATGGATCTGAGAAGTTAAATATATCAGACTACAAATTTAATAAAAAGCCAAAGAGAAAAATGAGAGCTATAATTGTAATTAATCTTTACATTATATAAAGGCAGTGTGTAAATTCTGATGAGTAATAATCCCATTATGTTAATTAGAACACATCTGAAAAATAGTATTCAATATTTAAGCATGTACCCCAATATATGTACATTTACTTATTTATAAATTACACTCAAGCATATTGTATTAATTTAGGAACATTATAAAACTTACACAGAATAGAAATTAAAAGGGATGAGATAAAAATAAATGTAAGTAGAATTTCTTATATTTCTTTTTGCGTCCTAATGAATCATCTTGCATTACCCTTTGGTGTATGTATTCCAATTTGGAGACCACTGGTATAGAAAGTAGATTTTAGAAAGATGAGAGTTGAAACACAGATGGTTTAGAGAAGAATTTTTCTAAACAATCTCTTCTAATTGCTTAGAAGAGATTGTTTAGAGATTGTTTAGATTTGTCTAGATCAAAGATGATGGTGGCTTGGACTACCATCTAGTGGCAGTAAAAATGGAAAGAGGTGGATGGATGAAATGTATATTTGGATTTAGAACTGATAGGACTAAATCAGTGAGAGAAGGATAGAAGGAGTGGAAAAGAAAAGAATTAGGAATGATTTCTAGATTTGTTTTTATAACCTGGAGAGTGGTAGATAGTTCAACTCCTCTCTGTTTTATTTCAAAGTATAGAATTAGGACTAATGGTCAATATTATAAAGAGGCTGATTTCAACTCAATGTGAAAAATAACATTCTAAAAAAGAAAATAAACAAAAAAATTGTAAACAGGCTAGATAAGCATTTGCCAAGGATTCTGTAAAAGAGATTCCTGAATTAGAAATGAAGTCCTAGATGACCTCTGATATGGTTTGGCTGTGCCCCCACCCAAATCTCATTTGAACTGTAGTTCCCATAATCCCCACATGTTATGAGAGGGACGTGGTGAGAGGTAATTGAATCATGGGGGCAGTTTTCCTCATGCTATTCTCGTGATAGTGCGTAACTTCTCAGGAAATCCTATGGTTTCATAAGGAGCTTCCCCCTTCGCTTGGCTCTCATTTCTGTCTCCTACCACCATGTGAAGAAGGGTGTGTTTGCTTTCTCTTCTGCCATGTTTGTAAGTTTCCTCAGGCCTCCTCAGCGTTGTGAAACTGTGAGTCAATTAAACATCTTTTCTTTATAAATTACCCAGCCTCAGGTATATCCTTATAGCAGCATGAGAACAGAGTACTACACCTCTAAGTTTCTTTCTAACTATAAGAATCCATGAATCAAAGACTATTGCTCAATGTGTCAATAAAGGGTCTCCATTTAACATCAGAACAGCTTCACAATACCAAGTTTATAATATAATTTACAGATATTTCATAGGGAAGATTCCACAAATATCAATGATATATTTAACATTTATTTGTATAAGATGAAATTAGTTTAAAAATAGAATTTTTATATAATACATTTCAAATGCTTGCATTACCTTTGCTAAAAAATAAAATAATTTTGAAATTTAGTAGATTTTTTACAGTCTGTCTACCTTGTGAAGAAAATTCCATATGAATAATAGTAAACCTAGAGTTGTTGCCAAATCTGTTAAAAGCAATCGCCATCATTTTAACTTTACTGCCAACTTAAAAGAAAAATGCTAAGTAGACATTTCAGCTTGGCATTAGAATATGTAAAGGTTTATAATTTTTTATATTAATTTGTATTACTAGGTGCTGGATACTATAGTCTATGAATTCTCCTTTGACTGAAAATATTGTCTAAGGTAATGCTATTGTTTTAACCTAATTACATATTTAATGTACTCTTGTAAGTGGGATAAAATTTGAATACTAATATTTTTATGCAGACTTTAAAGTCCAGAATGGTTAGCAAGTAAAAAATAGGCCAATAGTGGAGTAGAAATTCGTATTTTGAAGGGAAGGAAATAAGTGCAAGAGACTGTACTTTACAAATCAAATATCACTCAGATATTTATGTAGGAAGAATATAACTAATTTTCCGTATTCTGAAAGGTGTTTGCTTATGACTGCCTTCCAAAAGACTCTCTTGTCTATAAATACGTTCTATTTATGGGCCTTAATTTTATCTTTCAGTTAATTATATCATCTGGAAAGGGGTGAAAGAGGGGCAGGCTGTGGCAACAAATCTATGCCTAGTTGTTTAATCTCATGAATGAGTGAGTTAATTGCTTGTTTAACACTCCTTCTATACTGTGCTAGCTTTGGGGATTATAACAGGTGAATAGGATGGTCTCTGCTCTCAAGGAACTCAGTGTAATTGGAACAGACAAACCATTAGGGCATTATTATGATAGGACTAAGTGTTACAGTAGAGAACCACAGCATTTTATGGGTGCTCATAGTAGAGTCAGGAAACCTCTCAGAAGAGGCCATGTTTCATTTGAGTTTCAGTGCATTCAGGAGTATTTGGGTGAGTGTGGAATGAAAGCAGGTAGTGCGAGCAGCTGAAACAACTTAGACAAAAGAGCATTCACAAGGGAAGGTAAATCTGATATGATATTTGCAGGAGGAGCCATCCAGGTGAAGAGTTGAAGGGAAGACAAAGAAAGTGTTTCAGTAAGTGTAGAATGTTTGAATGCAAAAAGTGAGAGAGAATTTGGGTCTCTGTAGATCAACAATTTATAATATTAGAATATAAGGGTAGAGATTCAGACATCTTGATGGGAGACTAGTCTATAGAGGTAAGTAGGTGTTCAATGACGGGTGCTGTATTAGAGGATAGAGCTGTACTAAGGTTTTCTTAGTTAATGTGAAGGTCACAGGAAGTCACAGAATACTTTTGAAATGAGAATGACACAACTGAAGCTTTGCTTTGGAAAAATCAACTCTGGTTGTAGTGTGAAGAATGGATTGGAGTGCAACAAGACCTAGGCAGGAAGATGTGACCTGATCTAAGAGATAAAGGGTGACATCCAAGACTGAGATTCGTTACAGTGAGGATGCAGTAAAGGGAAGATTAGATATTATAAAGAGAGACATTTGATAGGGTTACAGACTATATGTGGGAAGTGTGGGAGAAAGAAATGTTAAAGATGAGTCCAAACTGTCTGGTCTGGGTGGCCGGGTGAAAGGAAATCTTTGCACTGAGTTAAGAAATCCAGAAAAAAGGGACAGGAATAAATAGGAAGACAATGATTCCTGCCCTGCATTTAGTAAGAGGCACCTGTCAGATATCCACTTGGAGATGTATAGGATAAAGTAAAATAAATAATTGATGAATACATTTTAGCTGCTCCTGCCACACACATGCACAAAAGGGTAACTATGTGAGATGATGAATGTGTTAATTTGCTTCACCATAGTAACTAATTTAGTAGTTATGGATAGCCCATTATATCATACTGTATACATTAAATATACACAATAAAATTTATTTAAAAGAAAATAGTGGTATGCTACCCAAATTAGGTACCATAATGTTTTTCACTGGCATTAAAGTTAAGATGATATGTATTTCTTAATGAAAAATAGTGGAAAGCAATGTTACAATAAAAATGCAGTTAATTTAATTATGAAATAGAGATCTGAGACTCATTAACTTTTAGGTGGTAGGTGAATTCATGGGAACTCATGTCATCATCTAAAGACAAAATGCAGAAGGCCATACATGGAGCCCAGGCAATACCATCATTTAGAAGAAAAGCAAGGAGCAGCATTAAAAGAGTCTGAGGTAAATCAGCTACCCTGTGAGCTAGAGCAGTGGAGAAGAGTTTTAGAGTCAACTGCATCACTTACTACAGAGAAGCCAGGGAAAGTGAGAATTGCACAGCATCAACTGGATTTGGCAATAAGCATGCAGACCTTATAAGCTGTTCTCTAGTAGAATGGTGTGGGAAGAAACCGGATTATAGTGGATTGAGACATGAATGGAAAGTGAAAACGTATAGATGGTAAGCATACACTATTTCAAGATACGTAGATGAAAAAATAAAAGAATATGGTGGGACGATAAGTGCTGATGTAGAAAAGTGTTTATGATGTATTATTAAGTAAAAGGCCATCTGGCTATGGCAGAATATCTATTGTATTATTACATTTTTACAATAATGTATACATTTTAAAAAATGTATAGGTTCCATGAGGGCAGGAAGTTTGTTCACTGATATATCCATATCACCTGAAACAATACATGGCTCATAACAACACATCAATTGTTGAATGAATAAATGAGAATGTGTATGTGTGTGTTCATAAAGAGATAAAGATGAAGAAAAATGTAAACATATATAGCAAACTGTTGAACATGATTATTTCTGGGAACATAATAATTGTGGGAGGAGAGAAGCTTTCAACTTGTTATGTAAATTTATAAATAAATAAAATTTAGATGATTAGGTTTCAAAAACAATAGCTTATTATACTCAGACAAATTGTATCAAGGCAACTAATTAATTTGAAATAAAAAAGATTAAATCTAAATGCCAAATGAATGAATACACTCACTCATCTCCTGTTCTGCCTAGCAGGGACATCTGCTCAGGAGATTACCTTCGGTCTAGACAATAGGGGATGGAATGAGCTAAATAAATTCTGTAATTACCCCTGAAATCCAGAAAAAAAATGTCTCCTTTCACTACACAAGCAGATGAGGAAACGTGTCAAGTAACTTTTAAAATTTCTGCCTTTGGATAATCTTTCCTAGTCTCTGCTATTTGTCCTTGTAATTGCCTTACTCATCCATTGTCGGTGAACCTTCAGGACACCAAAGCTTTTTCTACATTGATTACAATTTTCCTGGTCTCTTTGGAAACATAGCTACAAATAACACGCTATGTGATTGTTTTCTGGAAATAGTTTTCATCCAAAAATAAGTTTCTTTCCTACTAGATGGTCTTTTCTTTGACTCTTATTATCTCATGTTCTTTTCTCTTTTTTGGAATTATTTATTTGAAGACCCATGCTTCAAAAATTAAGATTTAATATATAAGTTACAGACTACCAAATACCTATTGACATGAATATTCACTTATGTAATTAATGAATCTCTCATTTATAAAATTACTTACAGAATAAAATTTAAGAGTGAACTCCAGGGGTACATTTTAGAATTATCTAATTTACAGAGACTTTCAAGGATACATACACTCCATAAAGCAAGTGGACTCACACTGTCAAAATAATATTTATATTTTTCTTGCTATTTTCAATATGTTCACAGAATAATATAAAATTAATTTTTAAAGAAATGTACTAGTTTTTATCTCCTGTATTGTAAGCAGAAATTGCACTTAGATGAACAGACTGGGGAGTAACTTAAATACAAAACTATTCCTGATACTACTAACTTTGCCCTATAGACAGAATGTGTTAAGGAAGATATCCTTAAGAAATATCATAGTAATATTAGTTAGAATCCTCAATGTAAGGTATAGATTGCTTAAAGAGAATTTAAAATCCTTTCATTTTTAAATATTTATTTATTTAGTTTTTGAGATGGAGTCTTGCTCTCTTGCCTAGGCTGGAGTGCAATGGCGTGGTCTCAGCTCACTGCAACCTCCACCTCCCAGGTTCAAGCGATTCTCCTGCCTCAGCCTCCCGAGTAGCTAGGACTACAGGTGCCCGCCACCATGCCTGGCTAATTTTTGTATTTTTAGTAGAGATGGGGTTTCACCATGTTGGCCAGGCTGGTCTCGAACTCCTGACCTCGTAATCCACCAGCCTTAGCCTCCTAAAGTGCTGGGACTACAGGCGTGAGCCACCGCACCCGGCCTAAAACCTTTTAAATATTTTGAAAATATGATCTCTCACTCTGCTTTATATGAATTGGTCCATTAATATTTAGTTATTCTCATACGGGCAGGACTGCCATATTTAAGAAGTTTAACATTTTCTTTGTGCCTTTGACTTTGAAGAAAGAAACATTATCAAAATTTTCGTATTTATGTTCACCAGGTGGCTTTTCCAGAAAACAGCCCAGCAAAAAAGTGATAATGTTCTTCCATTCTTGAGGAGAATTGCTTTCTTTCAGCCATGGTTAGGAAATATCTGGCAAATAACTGAGTGTCTTTGCACCTGCAGTTAGCCACATATAGATGAAAGTATTTAATGTCAAACTCATATGGACATATCGGTGTCTTAGTTGCAAGCCATGTGACAACAAACTGAAATTCAGCATAACTTAGTAGAGAAAATGGTGTAGTCTCCAGAAAAAAAATCACAAATTTATTAAGTACCCACACTATTCCAGGCACTGTATTGTGGAGAAACATAAAGAATAGTGAGAGTTTATGAGAAATAACTCTGTAAGAAACATTGTGACATACTATATATCCAAAGTAGACAAGAAATTTTATGATTTAAAGTTGAGAAGATAATATATTTGCTTATTCTTCAAAACAGTTGAGTTTGTTGTACTGTCCGTTGATTATTTATAAAGGACATTTATAATTCTGTGTTATAAAGCAGTTTCAGCTGAAAATAAAGAGAATTATTGAGTAAACACTGCATTAATTTGGTATGACCAGACTCTCAAGGCTAGAGGCATCTGGGTATCATTGTAGGCTACAGTGATACCTGATTAATACTATCAATGTAGGCTACAGGTATCATTAAAAATAGTATATATGCTTAATTAACAGATATTAGATATTTTCCCTAAAATATAAATCTCTGAACTTGTAATCTATCTGTGACTTTGCCCTTTTATTAGCATCTTTTCTAAATTCAATAGTAATGGTTATTGGCTCTGTCTCTAATACAGATATTGAGCTATTTTGAATAGTTGAGGATTTATTATTATGGCAGTATTTATTAAGCAATTAGTCCTGGCAGATCAAGATACGGAATTAACATTTTATATTCTGAAGTGAACTTTATAAGTAGCTTTAAATGAGAGTAAGAAAATTAGCAAATTAAAATGGACTCCTTGCCCTGATATTTATTATAGATCATCTTTCCTCCTCTATTACATGTACAGTAGCATAGTTATAGCTGACTTAATTTTATATAATTCTTTTCATTTAATTTTCTCCTTTATGTAGAAAACTGTGCAGAGTTTTTGTTTGAAATATATTGTAGGGATAATAATTTTTAAAACCAGAAATAAAAAGAAAAAATAAATACACCCTGAAGATCTCTAATAAATAAAACTTGTTGCCTCCAGGATGAAATTCTCCCCACTCTACCTCTGGATCAGAACATCTTTATCATAGTTATCCTTCATCTGCTGCAGGTAAAATACTTGCCTCATTCCTGTCATCACTGAATATGAAAAGCAGATGGTCTGCACTCTTTCTACAACAATAGAGATCATATTTTTGTTCCCAGAAAAGACATCCCAAAGTTACAAGTGAGAAGTGATCACTGCCTAGGCAGACCGTTTTCCTCCAGTGAGGGTTCACTGCTTATAGACTGGAAAGGACACTAACTGGAAAACTCGCAGTTTTAATCTCACATGCCCTCTGGCAACTCTTTTATTTTCTGCCAAAAGTGTGCCCCTCATGATCAGGGTTGAATCCATAGCCCAATGTCTCCCAGGGTATTTCCTGGGTGGTATGTGAGAAAATGAATATTCTATATTTATTATAAATCTGGTGGGTGGAGAGATTGTTAGAGGGCTCACTTTATCTCTGGACATCTGCTTAATGACTTGACATCATAGGAATTTCTCCAGCATGTATTGTGGAAACAATCCGGCCTACCTTTTCTATTGAAAGAACCCACAATATTAGAAATCAGAATGCCTGGATTTGAATTCTGCCCTACAGGCTGTGTAACCTTGAGCATGTCGTTCAACCTGAACCTCAGTTTTCTCATCTATAAGGGAGATATTAATGACAGCAGCACACCAATGCCACGGGATTTTCTTTTTCTTTTTTTTTTTTTTGGTTGGTGAGGTATATAATAAAATGAAATAAAATATATTAAACATATTGCAAATTGCAAAATTTTATAAAAATGCTAGTTATAACTAATTGTTACTACATGTTCTCTCTCTGTTTTTTTTTTTTTTGTCCTCTGGTCCATCATCTCTTCAACTCCATGTCTTCCTCCCCCTTCTGCTCTATTGTGTGCAAGTGGTGAAACCAAAACTAAACCAAAGCAAAACATGATACCATTGCTTGGGTCTCATGAAATACTATCTTGCCCACTCTCTTTCTTTTTCCTGGTAGTCAGATTGGAATTTCCAATTGTCAAACTGAAGTTCAACCCATGAAGTTGCTTTCTGTTTTTCCTTTTATTTGACTAATGTGTCAGTTATTTCAATATCTATGGAGGAATGCAAATAAATAATTCACAGTGCTCTAGAGGGAGACACAAGTTAACTTGCCAATTAACTTTATTTTTACAAAATAATAAGTATGTGGAACAGAAACATTTTGTAATAAGGAGGATAGGTGCTGAACCTAAAGGAATATTCACGGTATGCTGAGTTGTAATTACTTATACTCAAAAACCAACTGATGGATACATCTCAGCTGGGATACTCCATCCAATTTTTTTCTTATTCTTTACTCATATCATAACAGATACGTTTCCAAAACATTATCCAAATACTGCATCTATTACCCTGGGAAAGCCTCCCCATTTTTGACCACAGGTTTCTCAGCTGATTGTATTCTGGGAAGCACCCAGAAAGTACCATTAAAATTCACTGCAGTCAAAGCTGTTTTTTACAGTGTTGCTTCTCTTAGTGCCCATTGCCCCCTTTCCTGTACCAGTGAGAGGAATCATGTGTCCTCATGCTATGCCTTGCCTGCCACCTCCTTTCAAAATTTGTGTTATAACATCCAAAACTATCACCTTCATATTATTGAGCTTTTGCAATCCTGGAAAGCAAAATGTTGTTTTAGCTGTCTTTTTACCAAGATACGAGACACAGATTCTCAAAGTTAATTAAAGGGTATTTTATAATAATATAAGTGAAAATGCATGTAAAAGTGCAATGATTAGCTAAAAATTATGTTCAGAAGCCATATTAATGAAGTTCTTATATGTCACATTCATAAAAAATTGTATTAGAACACAAGCTAAAAATAAATCATTCATCACAATATAGTTAGAGGAATATTAAGAGAATAATAAGTGATTTGACCTACTAAAAGAGAATTACATTATTTCCCTTTGAAATTTACCAGCATATTATTAGAATCTTCAATATGATTCTTATGAATCTTCAGTATGATTCTTCAATATGAATACTTACCAATAACTCTGAAGTTCTATTATGCATCCTTTATATTAGGTTTATTTTACTTTGAATTGTTATCCTGTAAAACAATATAACTGAAAATCAAAATGGCAAAACCATTTCAAAGAATTTCTATGTCTCAGTTTCCTAATTTGCATGAAATGGGATTAATAATAACACTTTTCTCACTGAGTTACCATGAGGATTAAATGAGCTAATAAATGTGAGGTATGCAGAATAATGCCTAACACATAGAAACACAATATTTAAAAAATTACAGAGTTCCATATGGTTGTTAGAATTTTATCAACCTTACATTTCCCAACCTATTGGTTATTATCTGCTCTCACCTAACCAATGAGTAATAAGAATCTCTAATAAACCACCACTTGTCAACTTTGGTGCAGTAACAAAGAAGAATATCACAATTATCAGAAAACATGACTCAGGCACACCTTCCTTTTCCAACTACATATCTCCACAAGGCTGAATTGTCCTCATATACTTCAACAGAAACAACAAATAGCAATGAGAAATCCAGCTATCTTCTATTAGAGTAGACATTAAAGAGATTTGAAAAAATGACAAATAATGCTACTTTTCAGTACTCATCTTTTATAGAATATCTTTATATTATAAAATATTTATATTACATGTAAAAGACTTGTTATTACTTTTGAATGAATAAATAATTTTCAAAATTTTTCAGTTTTAGTTTATATTATGGTAAAAATCAATAGATGTAACTCAGATAAACGAAAGTTGTTTGGGGTCTTTAGAGATTTGTAAGAATACAAATGGGTCCTAATGCCAAAAAGTTTGAGAACTGCTAACGTCTAAAATTTCTTTAGATTATTTTATAGTTAAAATTTTCTGAATAGATATATTAATGCCAATGTATGTCAAACATTCTTTCTTTAGATTTTAAAAATCTCACATTATAAAACCTAAATAACATGATTTTATGATACAGTGTTTTGCAGTAAAAAGAATATGAGATTGGGATTTTCAGTTCTAATACTGAATCCATTACTAATGCTGTAGTAAGATAAAAAATATTATTATTATTTTGAGACAGGGTCTCATTCTGTCACCCAGGCTGGAGTGCAGTGGCATGATCACAGTTCAGTGCAACCTCAACCTCCCAGGTTTAAGTGATCCTCCCACCTCTGCCTCCTGAGTAGCTGGTACTACAGGCACATGTCACCATGCCTAGAACATTTTTTCTTTAAATTATCTTTAATGCCAAAATATTAGGCTGATCCTGGCATCATTCATGTCAGTGGTGAAATTTTTCCATATTGCTTTCTTCAACTTTTAGAGTATTTGGCTCTGGTTTTTACAAAAAGTTAAAAATAAATAACTATATTAATACCATTTTTTTCCTATCTAGGTTGCCCTGAAGCTGAGATATGTGTAGTCCTAGACTAGAAGATGAGATTCAGCTGAGACCAAGGGCTCAGTTGCAGAAATAAGTGATCATGAGGCTGTGAAATCCTAATAACAAACTGAAATCCTTGAAAGACTACTGGACTACTAGAAATAGAAACCAGTCTTACATAGTGAAATCTCAAAGAAAAGGCCAAACCAAGGTGACAGCAAAGTTACACCATAGACTTAGGTAAGTCAATTCTCTATGTATTCACATCTGATTCTGTAAAGTGGATCAATAGTATTTATCTCACAGGCTTGTTTTAAAAGATTACATGTGTTAATGTAAATGAAATATCTACATAAATTACAACGTGCTCAACAAACTGTTATTGTTGATATTGTGAAAGTAACCAAAGGAGCCCCGAATGTAGTCAGATCACATGACTTTCAGGTCACGTTCCATCATTTGGCTCTTTCGCTTATCCTTTCTAAACCTAGATTTCTCTATCCATATGAAGTAGATGGGACATGTGTGATGGTGTGGGCTTTGGGAAGGGGCAGTGTGTGAGGTGGGGAGCCAAAGAGATGGCAGAAGCTTGTTGCTATGCAACACAACCCCATGTTTTTAGAAAAATTAGTAATGCCTTAGAAAAGCACTGCGAATCTTGTGGAGAAAGAAGGAGCTCATGACTCAGCATGACAAGGAGAGGAACCTGAAAGATAGGTAAATGCAGGAGGGCAGCCTGAAAAATGGTAAAAAATGTTGGGTGTTGAAGTAGTTTTGTACCTAGCAGGAACCCTGCTTGTAAAGTGAGTATGGTCAAGTTTTATTAAAGATTTTTTTTTTTTTTTTGGCAGGAGCTAGAAACAAGCTGCTTCTATAGAAATAAAGCACTTCCTTCTTGTGTATTGTATACCATGCTGTCTACCCCTTCACATTTTAATGAAAGAGAGGACCAATTAATATTCTTTCATATATTTGTTGGAGTAGGAACCTAGAGCTGACAGTTACAGTTTCTGAGAGTTAAAAAAATTAAAAACACTGTTTTGCCAAAGATCATAATTGGTCTCTAACTGTTATACAAGATGATTTTGGTGAGGATAAAAAGGTTTCCACAGAGTATTCATGTTTGCATGAGTGTTCAAATGTAAAATATTCTATAGAAAAGCATCAATAGGTAATAGATGCCGATGAGCAGACTCAAAACACACATTCATAAAACACAACAAAAATCATCCAGATCACTTTGCAACATCCCTGTACATTGTGGACAATAATATGTTTTCAGAAACAAGTCCAAATAACTATTGGTGATATCCTAAAGAAGCATCCTAGTCGACATTAAGAAAACTCTTCAAAACATTAACAAAATTTCTTCTATCAAATAAGGAGTCTGAAATTAGGGAGCCTCAAGGGGGTTTCAGTTCTAACATTCTGTAAGTCAATGACTTTTACTAGCCACTAAAAGCTGAAATATAGACTAAATTCTCCTAAAATTAAACATTTGTTTAAAAAGACAAATCATAAAGAATTCAGAAGGCTGTAAGTCTCTTTGGAGGCTGACAGAAGTGTGGCATGTAGTTATTATCGAAGTCCATGAGGGGACAAGAGTTCTGAGCATTGTCTATTTTGAGTGTCAACTATGAGAAAGTCAATCTGGCAAGCATTTTATATACATCATCCTATTTTAGAGTAAAAATGAAGTTTTAGAAGTTTTAAGTATTAATGAGGCTCAGGAAACCACAAATGTCACATTCATATTCTCGAACAATTTAATCTGAAGCACTGACAAGCATTAGAAGACATTAAATAAAGAGAAGTGGCATTAATAATAACAGCCTGGAATATTAAAGCTGAGCTTGCTACGTGACCTGAGATAGCTGGACTGTATAGGTGCTGCATGGAGTTGATTTAGATTCATCCAACAAAGAGAGAGTGAAGTATATTGTTTGTAATTCCCTGAAACACACACACACACACACACACACACACACACACTTCAAATAATTGTAATTGTGAAACCAAAATAAAGAACTAAAAATCATAAGCTTCAAACTTAAATAAAACCATGGGCCATAAAAAATTGATTACAAGCCTTGAGAGAAAAGAATCTTGCTGACATATGTGCTTTGTAACTTCCATAAACTGTGCTGAGTATTACTCATTTCAGTAACAGAAGGAAGTGTACAAAGAACATGTCTGTTAGGACTTTGGGGTGGGATGTGTGTTAGTAAAAGACTTAGTTAAGATTCCTTAGTTAAGATTCTTTTTGCTTATATAAGCTCTTTTTCTTATTATCTTGGATGATAGCTTTTCCGTTTTAACGTTGACTGAGAAGGGGCAAAGGCTCTCAAAGTTATTCACCTGAAACTACAAAATGTATTTAAAAGCATAAGGAATGTAACTTTTAACCAAGGCTCTGGGCTCTAGATATCACAAAGCCAGTTAGATTCAATGGCTTGTTATGGTGAATTTTATCTACCCAGGCTGTAAACAAAGCCACCAGGTTAGTGAATATTAATCCATTACTTTAGGAATAATCTCGCTAGCCTTGTGTTAATTCAACTTGTCACATAGCCTAGTTTCTCTTCTTAGTCAGATTGCTACTGCATTTTGAGGTCAGCTTTTTTTTTTATTTTTTTATTTTTTTTTATTTTTTTATTTTTTGCAAACTACTGAAATAAAGACTACATCTAGCAGTTTCTCAGCCAAATATGACATACAATTTCATCTTTCACAATAGCCACATGCAGGCAACCTGGGTACAACAACCAAGAATGGAATACCTTGGTGAAAACTTCAGGTGGCCAGTGAGTCTAAATAAATGGGCAAATAGTTTAGACTATATGTAAGGAATTCTCAAATAGTTCTAAGAAGAAATCAAATAATAGCCATCATGCTTGAATGACATGGACAGGGCAGTTGTTTCTTTCTCTTGTGATCCAGCTTCCCCATACAAATGTGAAAGAAAGCAGTATCAACATCATAGTTTGTGAGGAAGGTGAAGTAATGTCTACTACAAGATAGAACATTTTAAAAATCAAGGAAGTATCTCTGTCTCTAATTCTCTTCCCAAGGGACATTTTCTGATTAAGTAAAATCTCATGCCTTAGTCAAAGATAATATGTTAGAAAAGTACTGTGCTGAAATTCATGGTGTGAAATTACAGACCAGCCCAAATCAAATATTGTTATTCAATTTTAAATAGCTTCAATTACTAAGAGTTTGTAATCAACAAAGAAATATAATTTAACACTTAATTTTCATATTTGATATGTAAATAGGAGGATTACTAACAAATATTCTAATTATTCTTTATGATTTACTATTGGTCCATGTTTAATTATGAAATGTGTAACAAGATATCATCCCATCAGCTCTATTGCTATGCACTATATTTCCTGCAAATATATTAGACATGTTCTATAGTTGATGGACATAATGGTAGATTCAACTCTGATCAATCACTGTTATATTTTCACTACCTGGAAAATGACAATATTTACAGCTGTCTTCATGCTTTTACTTACACATTATAGAAAACAAGAAAGTGCTATTTGATAATAATTAGATAGCATCAAACAGATTTTAGAGTAATATGAAACAGTGTAACAATTTAGAATGCTCTATCTGGTGATTTGTTAAACATGCCAATTTTGCTTGGTTATATGAAAGCAATTTTCTTTAGTATGAGTCAGATTCTTTCCAGGGTACTCCATGGAACAGTGCAATTTATTGTACTACATACAGAAATGTTAAATGATCTATGTAAAGTTTAATTTTGTATGTCAACTTGGCTAGGATATGGTAACCAGATAGTGTTCTAGATGTTTCTGTAAAAGTATATTTAAAGATGAGATTATAATTTAAGTCAGTTGACTTTGAGTAAAACAGATTACCCTCATAATGTGGATGGGCCTCTCTGAATTAGTGGAAGGCCTTAATAAAAAAAGACTGATGTCCCCTGAAGAAGATGGAATTCTGCCGGCAGGTTGCCTTAGGACTTGAACTGCTGCATTGGGTCTTCCTCCCCTGGGTCTCCAGCCTGCTGGCCTATCCTGTAGATTTTGGGCTTGCTAGTCTCCATGGCTGCATGAGCCAATTCCTTAAAATAAATTTATTTCTGTCTGTTTATATACATCCTACTGTTCTCTTTCTCTATAGAAGGCTAATGCAAACTATTTCTTGGAATAATAAAAGATACCTTTAAAGTGTCTTAGAAATACATTATTCTTGAATGCCTTTGATATTTCCTGAACTTTCAGGGAATAAAAAATAATATAGAAGCAAAATTTTGAGGAAAATAGCTCTTAGATTTCAGCCTATGTAGATCAGAGTAAACTGAATTCTACTTGTTCTTCAGAAGAAAATATGAGACAAAAATTAAGAAAGAGGAAAAAAGTTTTATTTCACACTGAAAATTGTAAACAAGTTTCTCTAAATTAGCATTAGATTTTCTCTATTGCTCAATAAAATGGTAAACAGGAAAGTTTTTGTTCTTTAGTTTCTTTTAAAATTTTCTTAGTAAACAAATGTTGTCAATGGTGTATACATTTCCAGCATCCTTTCCAGCATCCTATTTGCACTGCCATTGTCCATGTTTAAAATTAAGGGAGGTGGTAGAATGCAGTGATTTAGAATTAGGCTGCAGATCTGCACTGTTGAACATGGGAGGCACTACCTACAAGCAGCTATTTACATTAAAAGTAATTTAAATAAATAAAATGAAAATTCAGTTTCTTAGTTATATTAGCCATATTTCAGATGTTCAATAGCCATTTGTGGCTAGTGGGTACTGTATTGAAGAGTGAAAATGTAGAACATTCCTACAAAAATAAAATGATCCTTTAAAATAAAATTTCCATAAAAATAAAATTGCTATAAAATAAAAGTTCTATTGGATCACATTTCTCTAGTGTAAGACTGCATAGGTTCAAGTTTAGTTCTGGAGCTAATTATCAAAGTGAATTTGTCTTCTCTGTGCTTTGTTTTCTCATAGATAATATACTAATAATAGAACCTATTATCTTGGATTATCTTGAGAATTAAATATTATAATGTTTGTAATGCACTTGACATTTTATAAGTGTATTAGAGTTTTCTAGTGGGACAGAGCTAATAGGAGATATATATATGTGTATATGTGTATACATATATATATGTTAAGTATTAACTTACACAATCACAAGGTTCCACAATAGGCTGTCTGCGATCTGAGGAGCAGGGAGAGCCAGTCAGAGTCCCAA